GGCGCCCCCTTGCCCATCGGGACTGAGTGGGCCTGGAGCGCGGCCCGATCTAATATGCCCAGAGCCGAGGCGCGATGAAGGAGAAGTCCAAGAATGCGGCCAAAACCAGGAGGGAGAAAGAAAATGGCGAGTTTTATGAGCTGGCCAAGCTGCTCCCGCTGCCGTCGGCCATCACTTCGCAGCTGGACAAAGCGTCCATCATCCGACTCACCACGAGCTATCTGAAGATGCGCGCCGTCTTTCCCGTTGGAGTCGCTTCGAGGCCCCGCGGCACCTGGGCCAAGGCGAGGGCGTCTGGGGAGGCCGCGCGGGGAGCCGTGGTGGCCCCGGAGACCAAACTACCTTTTGGCCAGGAGCCGGGGAGTACGAACCAAGAATTGTTCCAAGCGCAGGTGTCCCCAAAGCTGGAAATAGCAAGCCAGCCCATTCAGTTTTATTTCTCCTTTCCTTCCCTCCCGGAACTTCTTTCTCTTTTTTTCCCCTTCCTTCCTTTTAACGCTAGTCTATTCTGGTGGTTTTATTTTAGTTCCTTCTTTATTTTCTGCCTTCCTTCCTTGCTCTTTTATTTCGTTCTTTACCAGTCCTTCCTGGTCTCACGTTGCCTTCTTTCTTTTCTCTTCCTTCCTCTTTTCCTTTCTGCCTGCCTGCCTTCTCCTCTTCCTTCACCTCATTCTGGAGAAGGACCTTTGCTTCTCCACACCCTAAGGCCTGAGTGCTGAAGGCGGAAGCCATTGGCTGTGCTCTTTCTGGGGAACCAGGCCGGCACCCCAGGGTCTCAGTCTCTCTCCCCTCCAACTCTTCTTTGTGGAGGCTGGGACAGAAAGATCATGGATTTGTGAGTTAGGGTACTGCTGAGCAGAGAGCAAAGCGATTATTTTGAAAATGGCAGACTCCTGAACAGTTCTTTTTAGGCCTGCAAAGGTGGCACTGAGGCCCATGGAGAGGCAGACTGAGGATTTCTTTCCGAGAACGGTGACATGCTGGGTGTCTCTCCCCACACCCACGCACAAGCCAGCTTCTGGGTGACTGTGGCCACTAGGTCAGGGACCTCCAATTAGCACCTCTGGGGTCTCTGAGGCTTGGCCGTGGAGATGCAGACCGACACATTGCTGGGAGGTGCACTGCTGGGGAACTCCAGACCCTGGAGCTGGGGGGCCTTGTAGGGGGACAGCTTTAGCCACAGGGTGCTGGAGGGTAGTCAGTGCCGGCGACAGGTGTCTGGGTCACAGAGTGCTTCCATTAAAAGCAATCCCCAACCAGGCAGCAGACCTGAAGTCTGTAGGCTCCCTTTGCTCCCTTCTGCCTGTTATTTGTGGTGGTGTCTGGGTCTAAGACACAGTTGTCCCATCCTCAGTGGAGCGCAGCGGTCTCCAGTCCCAGGATGACCAGGCAGTACCCAAGAGAGTGGGGCCAGAAGCAGTGGCTGGGTCCTGCTGGTCCGCCGCTGCCCTGCTGCTGCATAACTGCAGGGCATTTTCCTTCTCCAGGACCCAAGGATCCGCCCGGGCAGTTGCTCATTTCCTGGGTTTCCTAATCCAACAGGCAGAGATGCCTCTGCCCGCCCTCAGCCGCTAAGAGCTGTGGCTGCTGTGGTTGCTACTTGTCCACCTGAGTTAGCCCTTGGCCAGAGAAGTAGGTATCGTTCCTCTCTGCCAAAGTTTCAGTGGAAACGAAAGCGAATTTGGCTTTATGAGAGCCGAGTCTCCTTCCCACCCGGGAGAATACAGGGAAACCAAGCATGGAATCCACACAAGGCCTTCCTTCCCCCCATCCCGCCTTTTTTGGGGGGAAAATAGTAAAAGAAATGATCAGAAGAGTAAATGATGTGTTGCCAGTGATTTCAAATAAACCAGAACAGCTAGAAGCGGAGGCCGGAGGAACTGCAAGCCATTCGTTGTTTGGGGGATTTCAGGGGCAGTGGCGTTCTGCCGCAGCCTGTACTCTGGATCTGTTCTGGGAAGCTGGTCTCTAGGCATTGGGGTCGAGAGTGGCTGGGCTCTGAGTCCCTGCCGTGCGTTTGTGCCACCAGCCTAGTGTTCGAGAGCTGCCTAGACCAGGGGCCACGTGCACCTCCTGGGGGTGACTCTGGAAGTTGGCAGCAGGGAGCCACTTGGCTCTAGAGTGTCACAAATGGCCCTGAACCTGTGAGGAGACACCTGGCCTCAGGGAGGTGACTCCCTGCTTAGGGCTGGGACCTAAACCCAGGGTAAAGGGCGGAAAGAGGTGCTTTTAATAAAATCTTCATTATGCTTAACACCTTGCTTCGGAGAAACACCAAAGAGAGGAATGAAGTGGTCCCTTCATTGATATAACCTTTTTCTGGGGAACCCAGGTCTGCTTGGGGCCTGCTGGGTTCTGGGGGTCAGGGCAATGGCTCTGAGGAGGTTTTAGGGACAGGGCCACCCTGGGCCCGGGGCGGGGGTGCTCCAACTTCGCCTGCAGCTCTCAGCTGCAAATCGAAAGTACAAGATACAGAGGGAATGCTGTACCAGGAGAGGTTTTGCCCTGAGCAAGTGGGGTCCCTCGGTAAAGACGAATCTAGAAACCAGTTTAGGAACCAAGGAGGGTCACCAAATCCTTCCTACCTGGGGAAGTTGGTGGCCT